GTAATTGCGTATCATTTGGGTAATTCCCTATCATTTGGGTATCATTTGGGTATCATTTGGGTAATTCCCTATCATTTGGGTAATTCGTCGGACCCTCCGATCCACGGAACACACGGGACCACACGGGTGAAAAAAATGTTTAAAATATTACCACACGAGAGTAGTAGTACTTAATAATCAATAGAAACCAGAAAGAAAGGTAATTATCCAAATTCCATTAAAAATCGATCTAGGCCTAGGCTAGCCTAGGTATCTTGATTTCGTTTTGTGGGTTTAAATTTCCTATCGCGTCTGGCTGAGGCTATCGGCACTGCCGCAGTGCGAAAAAAAGCTGCTGTTTTCTATCGGCACTGCCGCAGTGCGAAAAAGCTGCTGTTTTCTATCGGCACTGCCGCTCAGTAGGCACTACCATCGCGTCTAGTCTCGGTATGTAATGCGTTGACATTGTGGATCTGTAACGCATTGACGTGTCAGCAGATGCTGACACGACCACCGAATCCGTTTGAATGGCAGCCTTCAGTTTGTAACATGTGAGTTTCAGATATAGGTAAGTATAATGAATAAGGACTAAAGGAGTTTAAACAACATACCCTCCTTTCTAAGAAGAAAAAAAAATGATTTTGTGTACGTTTTAAAAGGTTAAAATAAAAGCATTTTTACTTGGAGGGGTAGGCTAGGCCCCTGCCCTTAGGCCTGGGCTAGGGCCGGCCTGGCCTAGGCCTAGCTAGTCCTATGTAGCCTACCCCTAGGCTAGGGCCGGCCTAGCCTAGGCCTAGTCCTATAGCCTAGGCGGGCAAGTTGCATACTGCTTACTTTTTAACCGAAAAGGCCACTGATTAATCTCAAGAATACAAGAATTTATAATATAACATACTCCAAGTATTGAAACGGTTTCTGGACAGAACGGCAAAAAACCAAAACTGCAATAGGCCTAAGTCAAAACAGCAATGACCAAAACGGCAATAGGCCTATAGTCAAAACGGCAATAAACCAAAATCACAATATAAAAGTAGTAAACATTTAAATAATTAAAACTTTAAAATACAGACAAAATGAGGCTAAACAATTTATGTCAAAAGTAAAAAAAGCGCGAAAGAAAAAAACAACACTATAATAATAATAATGGTAATAATGATGATGATGATGATAATAAATAACACTTTAAAATAATATAGGCTATAGTCATGGATGTGTAAAAAAAAAACATATTACAAAAAACAAAACACGATTCAGAAAATTATAAACTGCTGCCCGCGCCCAGTGGCACATCATTCTTGGCATTGATTTTTGCTCCTTTGCCGTTTTGGTCTATGCCTATTGCTGTTTTTATAGTTTTCATTGCCGTTTTGGTTTGTTGCCGTTTTGGTACTTATCATTGCCATTTTGGTTTATTGCCGTTTTGGTCATTGCTGTTTTGGTTTTTGCTATTTTGAACTGCTCCCATTGAAACATGATAGCGTGCATTTCAATACTTGGAGTATGTATTATACTTGCTTACTTTTTATGGCCGCGCCTACTGCTGCTGCAGGTAATTTAAATTAACTAGGCCTAGGGCCTAGACTTAGGCACGCTTCTGCTGCTAAAATTGATTGCCTGCTGATGAATGTCTTACTACTGGAAAACTGGTACCAACTAGTTTTGTGTGTCTACCACAGGGGCTCCTGTATGAACTATTTTTAATATTGTTATCGTTATTATTACCGTATTATTAATATATTATATTATTATTATTATTGTTACTATTATTATTAATAGAATTATTGTAATTACCATATATATTAATATTATATTTGTTTTTTATATGAATTTACCAGGAATGATCTGTTCCTTTGTACACTCGCCAACATAAGAGAAACTAATAATATCATGAACATAATTTCTAGTATTATTATTTTGCCATATTATTTTATTATTTATTGTCTATATTATTTTTATCACTTTAAAAAAAATTAATTTCATAAGTTATATAATGGTGAAAATGTTCAATATTCTGTGGCAATTTTTATTATAAATGATTAAAAAATTGTAGTGAAAATGATTTATGTTTATCAGTAGCAAATTTTCTTATGCTATATTTTCATATTATTTTGCATTATTATTATATTATTTTTATTGTCTATAATATTTTTATGGTTTTTATTGTTAAAAATTATAATGGTAAAAATGTTAAAAAATTTTTATTAAATCAAGTGTGCAAGTAACAAGTTAAAAGTCATAAATAATAATACGGACGATGTTTCCTTCCTGCCGTGTTATGGTATACGCTCAGTATCCCAAATACTTGCAAAAAAACATGTCAGGTAGGGCAAACATCGTTCGTATTATGGTATTTGAATTAATTTGTTAACATAGAATTTTATAGTGCCAAACTGAATTTGTAAAATACTATGCAGTAAAGTTACAGTTTAACTACTGAACGTTTTACATATTTGTGTTCGCGGCTAGATTACAGACATTATCATCCTAAATCCAATCGCGAATATTGTGTGAAATCTGGATCCATGCCTACATGAAATTGATTGAAAGCTTAAAAAAAGTTTAATAATTTTTTAACAAAATAATGTATTCGGAATTATAGCAGAGACGAAGTTAATGACAATGTACGAATACGGAACACAAGCGTACACACTGCCATCACATGTGTTGTATCTAAAAAATCCGGTCGTCTATGTTATTAGCATCTGGACTACATTCCTAAAGGCGGCGTACAAAGAGCGTGTGCTTCAACCTGAGTACGTGGAATCCCATTTGTGGGAACATTTCTTTCCAATTTTTTAAAAATAGTAATTAGTTCCAAGCAACTAGTACAGGTAATTGACCTAGGAAGGGAATAAATTTTTTTCGGCTTATTTTATAGAAAGAAGCCCGAAACGGCCATTAACATGTGTGTATTTATAAATAATATTGAAACTATACTTTATTATCCATTTATTTGTGTATTTTATTGTCGGAATCAGATTATGTATCAACATGGAAATAAACAACGAAATACAAACCTTGTGACACATTGTTCACCTCAACTCATTACTTTTATTTCAATCATTGTCATATAATAATAATAAAAATAATAATAAAAACTTCATTTAACTACGGAAACACTTGTTCACCACAATGGTGTTTTTCAACAAGGCCGTAAGACATTGTACAACTCGACAAAACAGAAATTGAAACAAAAAAGTAAAAATAGACTTTAACATTAACTAAACTGAATTATCGTAAATGAAGAAAAAGGATGCAAAAAGGCAATATTTACAATTCATTTTTAATAAAGTATTTTATTCCATAACCTGTTTATAAATAACTTGTGGGATCCCACAACTGTACGGCACGGTAACTATGATTTGTGGCCGAGTTGACCTGTGGCCGAGTTGACATGTGGCCGAGCTGACCTGTGGCCGAGTTGACTTGTGGCCGAGTTGACCTGCTTCCGTTATAATTATGTAATGTAATTTGGTTGGATACGGAAGTCTCAAAGCACTGGAGGTGTGGACTAGCTCGCACAGTATCTTTCGTCTCCCCTAAGGGTCTCTTCGTTTCCGAGCTACCCGGTAAACCGGTACTCCAGCTATCTCTTGCCTGTCCACAACAGGGGCTGTATGAATCAGTACACCAGTGTAACTCCCTACACGTCTTGAAAGATGTACTGGGTTCTTTATGGTGCAGACAAGCCATTTTGTACGCTTGGCCTACGGTTTATACTCCTTCTACAAGGAAACTTGTTCCACCACCAGACGAGCGTGCTATTTGATCCAGCGCCGATATTATGGTTGTAGGTTGTGAGGCCCCTTAACCTCTCGGACATTCAACCATTGTTATTTATATCTATATTTATATTATATTATTATTAATTATAAAAAAAACTAGTCTAGAGGCTTAATATGAGCCTAAGGTAAATACATAGGCTGTGAGAAGGTTGCAAATCTAACACAGAGCCACAAAAATTGCATTTTTATTTTCACAAATGAACAGGTCATTTCTCTTTCTTATAGATTTAAACTTCAGCAACCATGAAAGTGAAAGTACTTTGTAGGAATCCTGATGATTACGTCAGGGAAACGAAAAAAGACATTCAAAGAGGTAAAATACATATGTATAGTTTATTAAAAAAACAAATTATAACTATTACCCATTGTTCCCAACTTGCTGGATTTGAAGGTTTATGTGGAAGCTTAAACGATTTTCCGAAGTCTTAATAAGTTTATTCCTTGTTTAACTCGAAAACTTGAAGGTCACTTTAAGCTTCTGTAGGTTTAATTTTTGTTGTCTATTGTTGACCAGTTTGGCCTGTTAAATATATGAAACTAAAATAAAGTTTGTACATTTTAGTATACAGTAATGTCAAATCATTCAACTTTTTCATATTTCACAAGTTCATCGGAATTATGATCCGTCTTTGCATCCCTTTGAGGCCCCACGCGAGTATGTGCGTGCCCTCAATGCTACGAAGTTGGAGCGTGTATTTGCAAAGCCTTTTCTTGGCTCGTTGGATGGGCATACTGATAGTGTTCACTGCATGGCTAAACATCCCACTAGCCTATCAACTTTACTCTCTGGTAGCTGTGATGGTGAGGTATGTATTTTATTTTGTTCATATTTTATCCAGTTTTTATAAAATTTTACCATGATAAGTCTATTTTGTTAGGCAAAAAATGTGTATAGCTTTGTGGTTGTGGTGCATGGTACAAATTTCCATGTGCTTTATTATTGTTTTTCAAATTCAAACATTCGTTTTAAGGCAATGTCTGATAATGATTAGACATGTCAATACTGTAAATGTTATAGATATTTGTTTATAAAGATCTGATTCATATGGCAGGGGCGGGTCCAGAGATGTCCGAAAAGGGGCCAGTTGAGAGACAACACTACAGCACGTCCGGGGGAATACCCCTCAAAATTTTTGTTTTCTAGACGCCAAGAAATAGGGCCTAACCTCTGAGGCATTTTGGGTGATCAATAATTTCTTTTGCTTTCTTTTTTTTTTAAACTTTTCAACCCATTCCCCTTCTTTTTCTAACTTTCCAACCCCTCCCTAAATCCACCCCTGTATGTTTTTTATTTTTGCACCACTGTGATGAATATGCATGAATAAAGTGACATTTTGTGGAGGCTAATGTATGCTTGTAGAATGTGTGTAGAAGCAGTAATTATAGTTTAGCTTTTAAATTGTTTTCGTAGGTAAAGATATGGAACTTGGCTAGTCGCAAGTGTACAAAGACACTGACAGCACATACTGGTTTTGTCAGAAGCTTATGTGTTGAGTCAAATGCAAATTACTTCTTGTCTGTAAGTATAGTGTTAAAGAATAACCTAGTTGTGCAATGTCCATTTTATCCTCCTACCATTTTTATATCCCTGTATTTATAAACAAAACACGGCGTACCGTTCGCTGATTGTTAAACTGAGTACAAAGTAGCATAAGAGTGTGGCAGTGCTTTAGTACAGTGAATCCGTAATACTTTTACTCATAACTTTGGCAATAGTAAGTTGATTCCATTAAATGACCCATCAATTTTAAGCTTATAATGTGAAGAATAAGAATATTAAAAAGTTAATTTTCATTTATGGTCACTAGTTTTTTGATGGTAAGTCCCATATTTAAAGAAAGTAACTAATAATACAATTGTGGTTACATCAGCGTCTACAAGATTTAACCAATATCAACCATTGTGACCATTAACCAGTTTGACCAATAGTTAAAATTATTAAAAACCAAAGGATCCACTGATTATACGTAAATAGAATATGAGTATGGTGACTCCGAAAAATGACAGACATGAGGCCATAGTTGATTCTACGTTTCGTTCTTTATTGGAACATTGTCAAGAATGAATAGTTTAAGTCCAAAAATACTGACAAACATACCAAAAATCAATACAAGATAAATTTTGACCAATTAGAAAGATGTAGGCGGATCATGGAGACAAATGATATTCTGATAAATAAATTGATAAACAAAATAAGATTGAGGTAAACAAAATGATTGTTTTAGAACAAAAGCAAGTTAGCACTTATGCTATGTGAATAATGCAAGCTCTTTAGAGGCTCTGAGACCATAGTTTAGACTAGGCTTGTATCTTCTTATAAGGCTTCAGCAAATAAAATTTCAGACCAATGTACAGAACCATGAATAATATTAATATTTTCAAATAATAAGGACTCAATAAGAGATTGTTTGGATGTATTGTCAGCCGTCATAAGATGTAGACCAATTATATGGTTAAAACCTTCACAACTCTCAATGTGTTCATGTACACTACTGTTTGCATTACGAGAATGTTCAACAGTTAGAACTTTTAAGCATCTATCTGTTTTCAATTGCCTATATAACTGTTGAGGCATCCAGAATATTATTATAAAATTATTAACTAACCAAGGTTTACAGTAGTCATTAACCAATGTAGCCAGCAACCATTGTGACCATTAATCAATTTGACCAGTAACCAATTTTTTTTTGTGTTAAGGTTGGTGATGATCAGACAGTAAAGCAGTGGAGCATGTCCTGTTCCGAGACTGAATCTGATGAAGCCCCAGTAAATACTATAATAGGAAAGGTAAGCCAACTTAGCAGTGCACAGTTGTAGAGCCGCAGGCTTATCCTCGGTGGAAGCTACCAGGGCTTGACAGACTGTTTCTTTTACGGCCTGACACGATATTTTTTAAATCTTAGCACTATTGTACAGATTAACAGAGGGGATTTATTTATGTGACGTAAGCGAGTCGCGAAACATGTCGAAACAGGTCGAAACAGGTACAGATTTTCAGTAGTTTTTGGCTGTTTTTTGCGTTGTTTTACCAATATCAAGACTTGAAAAGTAGTGGAATATGGTTGTGACATATAGAAACCCCCAGTGTATGAGATATGCGCACATTCCTGCCAGCAATTTCAGAGAAGATAGGTGAAATTACACCGGGGCAATTAGTAGAATTAATATATAGATAATAATAATAATAATAATAATAATAATAATAATAATAATAATAATAATAATAATAATAAATGATAATAATAATACCCAAATATGTATGTAGCGCCAATTCCAACAAATGTGGCAAAGACAGCCAAACCAGTCACTCATCGCAAAAATCGATTTTGAGTTATTAATACAGTGTTAGAGTATAAAATAATAGCTATAAAATGGTAAAAAAAATCGTTCAAATCGGACATTTCCTTATGAAGTTACAAGCGTTTAAACATACAGCTGTTTAAAGAACAATATATGAGAAATCAGCCTTCAAAGTTTATGATTTCAGGCATTTCTTATGCAGAAACTATCATCAAATCCTTAAAAAGTGTTGTTTTAACATTGAAAAGGGGGAAAATAACAGCATAGAATGATGTATAGATATGTAAAGATTAGTTTAGTGCAATAAAATAGATTTTTAAAAATTTGACATTCCAGCATGTTTTGGCCATTTTCTCTTAAACACAATTTGCGACAAGTGACTGGTTTGGCTTGTCTTTGCCACAAATGATCAAAGGCGTTGTATAACATACGATGGCGAACCAGCACAATGTGCAACCTTCTCTGCTCCCTGGGGAGTATACCTAGTCGTGCTCTACTTATTTAGTGCACAAAACTAGTACAATCAGTGTAACAACACCCTACCAGGTACCCATTTATACTCCTAGGTAGAGAGAGACAAACGTATACATTAATCGCCTTATACACGAGAATACTATAGTAATGGAATATTTACTTTAACAGAATGCACCTTTTCATTTCAGACTATTTTCATTGCCATTGATCATCATTGGAGGAAGCAAGTTTTTGTAACAAGTGGACAGAAAGTGGACTTGTGGGACATCAATCGTACAGAGCCTTTGAGGTCATTCACTTGGGGCACCGATAGCATCCATAGTGTAAAGTTCAACCCCATTGAGGTGATATTACTTTTTCTTGTATATTAAATACAGGTTTCCCTCTAATTAAATACCCTCCAAATAGAGCCGGTCATGTGACTTAACTTGTGTATACATGAAAAACATTACGGTGCGATAGCATCAGAAAAGATAATGTTATGGTTATGAAAACAACCACCCATTGTTTAGGTAAGAAATAAATCTCTAAGAAAGGCAATACGGTTGTGTTTACTTACTTATCCTAGCGTTCTCCAAGGATTGTATGCTTTGAAGTTGAAGTGATCTTTCATAAACCTTAGCTATTCCTAACATCGCAGCGTAGTTCACAGGTTGAAGACCATCATGCATACCTAACCATGCCATGGATGTGGAGGGCCTAGGAATAACATTTGTCGAAAAATCTCAATGTTTGCGGCCAGTATCCTTTACAGAATTAGCAAACCATTAAGGCAAAGTTCTCAAGTTTAATTTTCAATCAATTTGGTATAGTTTACCAGGAATTATGATGATTTTTACAGCAATAAACAAGGGACGGCCTTGATAGCAATCACCATGTAAAGCACAGCTGAGTCAGTGGATTGTTTATATCCAACACCCAAGTTAGGTCACATGACGCCCATCACCGAATCCCTCATTAAAGACAACCTTCAATTATAGAACACTTTTCTGTGGTCCCAAGTTAATAAATTTTTTTTATCTATATTATTTTAATTAGAGACCGAAACCCCAGTCCCAAAAGTGGTCTTTAATTGGAGGGAAACCTGTATTACATATAAGCGCTAAGAACTTTATTATTAACTGCCACTGTAGAAAATCTTTTTCAGAAATTTAGGATTTGATTTCATTTAGTGTCAGTTAGGATGTCATTTATTTGTTACATGATGTAACTGTTCTTATGTATTTTTTAAATTTTTTGTTTAATGTGAATATACTGTAATTATTTGTATAGGTATTGTATTTGGTGTGCTATTAATCCGTAGTACAGTCAACTTGCAGGAAGATTCTAAGACATGTTTGCCAATAATCTGATTCTTGTGTCATTTTAAACATCCATTTCTTTCATTTTTGTCTAGATTGTTTTAATGTTTTTTTTTTTTTCTAATACCTTTTGTATTAATTCTTTATTAGGTTTCTGTGTTTGGTAGTTGTACAGCAGACCGTAATATAATATTGTACGACATGCGTGCTAATGCACCGTTGAAAAAGGTGATCATGTCCATGAAAACCAACACTATTGCATGGAACCCAATGGAACCATTCATGTTTACAGCAGCCAATGAGGATTACAAGTAAGATGACATCATCTACATCATTTACATTATATCTTGGCATGTTGTGGCAAAATGGTTAAGTTGTTGCGCAGGCTAGTATTGAGTAAATAAGCTATAAAAAAAGTGGCCTAAAATTTTTTTTTTTTCATTTTGCACTGTAGATCAATAGTTTAATATCTAATTAATCATGACCCAAAGTCCTTGTTCTGGAAATGGTCAACAAATTGTATATCTAAAGTTATTTTGGTAGTTAATTCTATTAAACAATGTATGCACAAATAACTTTGGAAGGCAATTACTCAAAATCATGTTTATCTCGAGTGCTGTATTTCACTTCACAATAACTAAGGCTTGAAATATCCAATTTCAATGAATGACCCCTCATTTTAAAAATTGCGTACTCAGGTGTCTGAAAATAACAGTAACATTAATTTCACTTTTTGCTACAACTTAGCCATTTTGCCAAAACATTACCTCATTTGTGGGAAATATTTTATTCCTTTACATATTAGGTTACAAATATCCTAAAAAATAATTAGTAAACATTTACAGAAAAATCCAAAACAATGAAAATCTAACACTTATTCCAAAATCTAATACTTATTCCAAGTATACCTTTAAGTATTTAAAAATATCCTTAAACCGGTTTTTTTTTTCCCTGGCAGTTTGTATACATTTGATGTTCGCCGATTAGATCATCCAGTCAATGTTCATATGGATCATGTTTCAGCAGTGGTGGATGTTGACTATTCACCAACAGGCCGTGAATTTGTTAGTGGAAGCTTTGATAAGACAATACGTATTTTCCCAGCAGATAAAGGACGTAGCAGGTAGTGTATATTGCAGTATAGCGTTGAATATTATTCCGTACAGGAATTATTAGTGTATTGGATGGTTGGTACTGAACTGCTACATTCAATAATTCAGGTTTTATGTGTTATCTTCAACGTAAGGTGCAATATGACTCATTTTGTGGTAGCTATGTGTAGTTGTATGTTGGGTTACACGAGTAATGATGTAGTATTTATTATTTTATATGCATTATTTTAGGACACCTTTTAATTGAGTATCAAATTAACCATATCTTATTTGTCATAAAAACCGAAAGGTCCACTGATAATCTCAGATAAGAAAGTATAATACATACTTCAAATATTGAAATGCACGCCATCGTGTTGGGATTCAATATTTCGACATTAATTATATCATCAATCATTCCTGATGATGACAGAATTAATGTTGAAATATTGAATCCCAACACGATGGCGTGCATTTCAATACTTGGAGTATGTATTATACTTTCTTATTAATTATTGTAATCTGCATTGACTTGTAGTATTATTTTTTATTATTTTTATTGCCAGAGGAATACAAATTTTCAGTTGTATTATTGGCCTATAATTTTTATTTTATTGTATACAGTTTATTACATCTTATATCATTGAGTAATGATATTCCATCCTTAAAGTGGATTTGTATAACTTGGTGGTTAAGATGCTTGCTTTATAATCCCAAGGTGATGGGTGAAATTTCTGTCATGGTAACATGATTTTCTCTCTTGACTCCACACTCTAAGCCTTATATCGACTTTTTAAGCCAGCCACTCACCGCGTCGCAACCAATCTTAACTTCGTTCCCTGTGAGCGCTAAATGACGCGACACCGTCTGCTAAATTTTAGTAGCAGTCTGAACGAATCGTCATTGAAAATGTTTCATTACACGCGCCCACCAAGGGTGTTGCGTTCTCCAGATAATCGCGTCGATTGACGACCGTTGCGTGCAGTGAATGCCTGGCTTTAGTCTATGCAGGCATCTTGTGTGTACGTCATTTGAAGGGATTGTCACACAAAAATTTGATGTTTCACATATTCTTGTGCCTAAAGTATTTCGTGAATTCTGTTTGATGATGATGATGCATGCTATTCTTCAATTTATAGAGAGGTATATCATACCAAGCGTATGCAACATGTGAGCTGTATAAAGTGGTCCCTGGATAACAAGTACATCCTTTCAGGGTCAGATGAAATGAACGTCAGAATCTGGAAAGCAAGGGCTGCTGAAAAACTTGGAAAGGTATGTAGGTGATCCTGATTTAAGCCCCTTACATCGCTGGTGGAAGGTGGGTGGGGGTGGAGAGAGAAGAAACATTTTTAAAGAAACATCTCATTTTTACAGTATCGTCCTAAAGCATTGTCCACACTGTAACATTTTATGTGACAAAAACTGTGATATGCCTATATTTGGGTGTAACATTACACCATCATGCCCATGCATGGGTGCATCATGCAAATTTGTCACATCAAGTTTTTTACTGTACACAGAGCAAACAGTATACATACTTATAGCTTACTTTACAATGTGGTTGTTTGTTTGCTAGGCCTAGCCGAGAATTACATCACGTAGGCTAGCCCAGGGCCGGCCTAGGCCATGTCTAACCGCTTATAAAAATGCAGAAAAAAACACCCAAAACAAATTAGAATAAAGTTATCAACTAACTAGTGCATTAAAATTATTCATATACTTACTAATACTACTTTACCTATATAAAATTAAAATGTAACGCCAATATTTTTTATTTCAATAAGTTTTTTTCACGAATCGGTAGATATCTTGAAGTATGACAAACAACCTAAGTCAGTGGTGCGTAACAAACAAAAATAAGATAAGCTAGGCCTAGCTGCTGTACGCCTAGCTGACACAGTGTGGCTAAGGAATGTTTTGTTTTTCTGAGCATGTGCAGATTGTGCTTATCTGCCTCATCAGCATAACAATACCACACATAAAGCTAATTCAAGTTAGACGGCTTAAACCAGCCAGCTTCCTATCCTGGTAACAATTAAAAGTCCTTGGTGAAACCTTATTAGCATATTGAAACTTTAGTGTCGTCACACTGATGTTGAGGTCACATGAAAATGTCTATTTTGAAAATCAGCTTTACCCTGTCAATGAATTTTCGAATTTGATAGAATTTCATGATTTTTCTTTCTTCTCATAGTTAAAGAAGCGAGAAGAAGCCGCTTTCCAATATAATGAAAAATTAAAAGAAAAATACCAGCATCATCCTCAGATCAAACGTATTGCACGACATCGGCACGTTCCAAGATTGATCTACAAAGAGACGCAAACGATACGAATACAAAGACAGTCTCTGAAACGCAAGTGAGTATATTTAGATTCAGGCAAGATACAGTAATGCAAATCATTTGATAAACGTTTGCAGTTATTTTACCTGTAAGTATGACATTTATGCTGAGTTAATCAGCCAAACAAGATGTGTATAAAACACATTACAAAATAAAAGACAGAATTGACAGAATAGACACCAAGTACAGGCTACCAAAATAGTATTTACTGTCATTTATAAAGTGCTCTATGCTGGAAAGCTGACCCCAGAGCGCATACGAAATACAATTAGTTGAATGCGGATAAGGTAAAATTTTCAGGCACCACATGATGCAGAACTGCACAGGACAGACAGAAAAGACACAAGGTTGTGAAGCATTGTGGTGTTCAATCAATTAACAACGATGTTTATAGCCGCGGCAAAATGCGATGTTCAGTGGCGCTAGGAGAATGGCATTACTCAAGGTGCACATTAAGTACTGAGGTTAATTAACAATGCTTATTATGATTATGAAAAATATAAAAACAATAAACAATTTGCATGTGTGTTTACGAGGCAAAAGAACCTTTGTTGGAATAATTTGTAGCTTAATAATGGTCCGAAGATTCTCAGGCTCTTTGGGTGCCAGGGAGCTCAGCACAGCGGATTTTGACCAGATCCTGCAATGTTTAGCCGCAAACCATAACTTGTAACCTCTGTTTAGGGGTTCTGTTCCTTATATACATATGTATTGAGATTTGCTTATCATTATACACTGACTGTCCTAACTTAGCCAAGCAATTAGACCAACTAAGAATATACTAAGTATGTTTTCCAATGGTAAAGTAATGTTTTGATTATTACATTGTTTATTCACAGGCAAGACAATAGGAGAAAACACAGCAAACCAGGCACTGTACCAATCGTATCAGAACGTGAAAAGCATGTTGTTGGCAGTGTTGAATAACATCAGAAGCCAAGAAAAGAGGGCGTGCTGAATCCAAAGCTGACATAATATCACAACCAATGTTGCTGTAGCAGACGTGTTGTGAGAGTGGTTTGAAGCTGAATATTTTCAGTGACGGCGCCAGTGGTGGTTAGACAATTTCCCCTGTTAGACATTCATAGATCCCCTGACGTTTGATGCTACTTGAGGATTTTGGACTAAAAACAGTAATAGCGATTCAAGTTGTTGTAGTTGCAGTTCTTAATACTGTGGTATAAGCTAAACGCACACTTTTTATCATCCTAAAACCATAAAATCTCTTCCTTAATCCCAATCAACTTAATTTCAACTGAGATTTTAGTCTGGGACACTGGCCAGAGTCGCTAGAGCACTGTAAGCCCCTCTCGCTTAATTTCAACCGAGGTTTTATTCTTGGACACTGGAGAGAGGAGGTGCTACTGCCCCTTAATCCATTCCGGCTTAATCCCAACGGAGGTTTTAGTCTGGGACACTGGCCAAAGGCGCTAGGAGTAGGTAGTCACTTGTTTTGGATTCCCTCTCAGACATGGGTGGGCCTCCTGTCAGCAAATTTTCCTTGACTTGAGTGTTTAATTCAATTTGCTATGATGAAGGTGTTAAGTTGATGATAAAACACCATACACTATAAAATCTGTGTCTGTCCAGATGATGTTTTATCTTACTTTTCGATTATCAAATGTTAATTGGGGAGCTGAAATCCATGATTGATTTTAGTATCCCTATTTTTTCAAGATTTTGGGTTGATCAGGATTGGACGAATTTCTTTTTACCTAATCATATTAATTAAAAAAATTTGTACTTAACTACTTGTTTTGGTTACTGGCCAAAGGCGCTAGGAGTAGGTAGTCACTTGTTTTGGATTCCCTCTCAGACATGGGTGGGCCTCCTGTCAGCAAATTTTCCTTGACTTGAGTGTTTAATTCAATTTGCTATGATGAAGGTGTTAAGTTGATGATAAAACACCATACACTATAAAATCTGTGTCTGTCCAGATGATGTTTTATCTTACTTTTCGATTATCAAATGTTAATTGGGGAGCTGAAATCCATGATTGATTTTAGTATCCCTATTTTTTCAAGATTTTGGGTTGATCAGGATTGGACGAATTTCTTTTTACCTAATCATATTAATTAAAAAAATTTGTACTTACTACTTGTTTTGGTTTCTTTTCAGTTGTATAATTAAAATCACTACTACTGTAATACCTTTCCAATTATGTTCATTTTGTGTTACAATAGCCTACCAAAAAAAAAGAAACAAAATAAAAAATTTTTTGAAGTTACTTTTTATTTTTTGTTTCTTTTTTGTTCATGTTTTTTGTTTATTTTTGCCAGTCTGTATGCGCTTATATTACCCTGAGAATTATATTACCCTGAGAATATATATATATATATATATATATATATATATACTGTGCAGAGTAGGTTGGAAGCAGATCATCTAGACAACAGTGCTCGATACATAAGCAGAGCAATATAAAATCAAAACAAGATGACGCTTGGTTACAGATTCAACATTTCATTGCACTACAGGCTGTTTCATGAGGTACTTCCTCAATCATCAGGTGCTAGGCTCTGAATGAGACTGCAGAATAACAATCATGCATGGTGGAACTGTTAATTGCTGTATAGATTATATTGTTATATAGTTTATTGGTAAACAGGTTAATTAGTATACTCATTATTATTCATAGAGGTGATTAAAAGCTCTGTATTGTATAGGCCTATGTATATTGGTACTGCGGTACAAATATACATAGGCCTATACAATACAGGGCTTCAGAGCTTCTGAAGGTGCCAATGGTGATTTTAAGTAAACTTTTTTTGGTCTGTTTCTGCACATGCCAGACTGAGAAAATTAAAAATTCATAATAATCGTTTTCTTTAGGATTATGCTCCTATGAAATCTCCATGTAGATGTGAAATCTAGGTTTTTTTCCACAATCAAATATAAAACGTTATCAGTGTGATTACTGAACATCACATTCTTTATAAGATGATAAATATTTTAAGGGATGTAGCTAATCACTACAACTGTGTGTGGGGTTATCGTCGTCGCTGCTGCTGTTGATTACTATTAAACTATTTTTGTTTTGTACCAATAAATTATTATTGTTGATTAATATGGAGTGAAAAAGTTACTGTTTTGTTGAGTTATAAACAAAGAATATATTATAAACAAATGATACAAAACAAGGTGCTGTTAGTACGTTAAATTTAGACAAATATGTATGTAGTCGCAGGCTATGCTGATAAACTTTCATAACCTATAGGTGGCGCTATATCATGATCTGTGATATAGATTCAATTCACAAGCAGTCAGGTATTTTGTTTACGCACAAACGTCATTACATCTACAAACATTCGATGATTTAATTTATTGTTTAAGTATAATGTGTGTTTGTTTATCTTTCAAGTTTCTATTTGAGGTTTGCCAACTTCACTGCGAAATTCCCTTTCAAATGTCACATCAGTTCATAATAGATTCCCACAAGACAGATTTTCCTTGCCCAAAATTAGACTTCAGTCTTGCCAAGTTTCCATAGTTTATGTTGGTCCTTCCATATGGAAGACATTACCAAATGATATTGTTTACCATTGCTCTTTTAATTTATTTATAAAAAAAATTCAAATTTAGTATGTAAGTTGCAAGTGAATAGTAATATATAAACCTAAACCTGGAACCTGAGCTCTATCGTATGTTTGTCGCCATAGCGCTGCCGCGAGGGTTTTCGCATTGCATTCTCCATGGGTAACACATTCTGGGGGTGAGAAGTTCTTTATTCTGTGCCCCATAATGTTTAAATGTTTGATCCACAATTTAATGTTTAGCATTAAATCAGTTGTTGTTAAATTAGGATTATCCGAGATTGATCACTTAAATTAATAGTGGGTCCAAAATACAAAAAATTGTGGGAAAATTACCAGAGGATAACCATCGAAAATTTGTCATATAGACAAATAATGAAGACACTAAAAAGAAAGAAAGAAGCTATGTTCCTGGGCGGTTTTTTGTGTTGCGTGTATTTGGCAAAAATACACATCTTCAATCGGCCAAGTAGGAGATAAGTTAATTAATCGGAAATGGTGGGCTGGGATTTCAAATAGAGTTATTATAGTGCACATAGATAATATGATGTATTTTAGACTAAGACAAAGGTATCGTAGATTCAGTGGCGTATCTAGAGGATGCGCGGGAGGTGGGGGGGGGTGCCATGGGCGAAGCCCCTGGAAGTTCTGGCGTCTATAGCCTTTTATAAGTCGTATTTAATTGATTTTAAGAAATGCAATTAAAATTTATTTCCACACTATATTTTCAAAATAGAGAGGTGGGTCCAGGTATTCCAAATAGAGGGGGCCCAGGGAGGAAATTTTACAGATGGAGTTTAGACCACCTCAGCCCCACCATGTTTGGAGCTGAGATAAGAAAATTTATGATTATGGCACCTCTATTTGGCCAGAAATAGTACCGGTACTCTCATACTTAGATTTGAATATAATTTTCTTTTTTCCACTTTCAAATTTTGAAAAAATAGGGAGGGTGGGCCACTGAAATGCTCATCATATATATTTTTTTAATCTATCCTGGTAAATCATGCCCGCTTACATATTTCGTGCAAACTAACATTCATAGGCTAAACATAATGATTTATTATCTACTGATTAGCTTGTGATATATTCGAACCATGAAGAACAAATGATAAACCATGTTCCTTCATAGATGAACTTAAAACAGTTACTCCAATTCTACCTTGCATGTACAGTTCTTTTAAAATCAATCAAGAGCTTTTTCTATTTCTCATTTTTTGAATTTTACTTTTGTGCTAGTAGTATAGCGACTACACTATTGTGTGTGGAAATACTAGGCCTACCAACATACGATCAAACAAGACTAAGGAGATAGGAAGCACACACAACATTAGTTAGCATTTTGATTTCACAAACATAAAAGGTGAGTTATTTAATTTATCATTATCATGGCAGGAGCGGATCCAGAAAATTTCTGACGGGTGTGGGGAAAATAGGTCGAACACACCCACCTTAGCCCCACCATGGGTTTTAAGGATATGCCCCTCTAGACGCTCGGAAATGGCACTCAGATGGTAAAAATGCTTTTTTAAAGCAGTCTCCTCGACAAAATTATTGACTTCCCGACTGAAGGTCTGCTCCCCCTCCCTTAGACACCCCTTTCCTCACTGGCGGCGCAAATGAATAATTATGGACCTGTAGTCTATATTATACTGGGAGTCGCAAAGCAAATTATGATCATGGCACATTTTCCCTCTTTCATGCCTTTAACTCTCTCACTTTTTTCTCCCTCTTTTTAAACTTTTTCGGCGAAACTGGAGGGGGTGGGTGAAACCGCCTTCCCACGGGATCCGCCTCTGCATGATGCATACCATGGCGAGATTACGTCCGCCAAGTAACATCGGAGTTCGTAATCTTGTGGAAATGTCGAAATAGATCCGTGTCAAAGGCTGTGTAATTATTGTTTAATACAGGTATATACAATTCGATTGGCTAACTATAATTCTTTTGAAATCAAGAAAAACAGAATCTATGTATGCAGATAATATTGAACACTAGCATATACAGGCCTTAATAATATACAAAAGGAATAAATTGTTTATAGTAGAAATTGTGCACTTTTGTGTTGGTCCGGAAATACGCACCGCACTTGCAACAGAGCACAATAGACAACATTCATGACAGTCATTCGTAATTGTTGTTCTTCTTTCCACTCACTTTGAAAAATGGGGTTTTAACTATAGAAGATTGGTGAAAAGTGGGGGGGGGGAGTGGGGGGGGGGGTGCAATTGATATGATATCCCCCTACTTTAAAAAGTGGGGGACGTGCCCCCTGTCCCCCACCGATCGCCCATGCAAAGAAGGCAAATCTGAACTGCCTGAAACGTAGCAGATGGAGCACCGGGGTTGTCGCCAGCGCCTGGTCGGTGCAGCCTGCACCGGGAGACTTCTCCCACTTCATTTTGGAAGTGTTTTTTATCGAGCACATGTGCTTTCATGTACACAGGACAAAACGGCTTAAAGTTCCATCCGAAGGACGAGGTTAGTAATGGACCTTTGCGGAGTATCATTCAATGTCTCAGCTGAGAGGTGGCTTTTAACTAGTTTACGAAATACTGACTTGCTGTTTCTTTTATTGGTGTACAGGTAGATTGAAACCAAGGCATACAAACCCATAAAACAAACGTGCTAGAAAATGAGGTGATGATGATAGATCTACATAAGCTAAGCCGTTCTTATTTTCTGTCGACTCAGGCTCAAAATGTTCTTATTTTGTTCTTATTTTTACGCACTTTTCAAACATACAAAAGATTATACAGCAGACCTACAGCAGTATGTAACTCTACTGTATTATAGAGGGGATTTACATAGTCACACCAGGGGCGGATCCAGAGTTGGTGGGGCCGAAATGTGGGGCGATCGAGACAACACTACCCAGGGGTCCGGGGCATGCCCCCGCGAAAATTTGGTATTATAGACGCCCGACAATAACCTATTAACCTCTGAGGCGCTTTGGCCCATACATTGTTTATTTCTTTTTCTTTCTTTCTTTCATTTTTTTTTTTGCATCCCAAAATAGTGGCCGGGGCATGGTCGCCCCCGATAAATCCGACCCTACACACCTACTGCACAAATACAAATAAGATTTGTTCGTTTTCTACTTAAAAAAAATAGAAGCTCATTTGACATTTTTCCTCAGCCTCAATTGTTCTTATTTTATTGTTAACTTTTAAGCAATTCAGCAATTAAAAAAAAAGTGTAGGCATGCCTAATTGCTTTTGCCTGTCTTCCAATTCATGACGCCGAGACTATCAACAAAATCAATACCGTACACCGTAATGCTGCAGGCAACAGACACATGTGGCCTGTCTCCGAACATTTCTTGCGGCCTATGGATAGAGAAGTTTCATAAAATTTATAGGGCTTTACATACTAAAAAGATACAGTAATAGGCCTATAACGATCAAGCTACGTTGAATACCATATCGAATAGAGAATAGTGTGATAATTCATTGAAGCCTATATAATAAGATGCGAATGTGCAAAACAAAAAGGAAAACCCCATAATTTACAAAATACAGAAGCCTTGCCTTAATCCCTCCCCCATGTCAACGGTGGTGGAACGTTTTTGAAAGTGGGGTCGGGGGAGAGAGAACTTCATACGGTAATAAATCCAGTATGCGAGCGAAGCGAGCATCTAGGGGACAGGGGGCTGCCAAGGGCCCCCGGTAGGGGCTACGGATATATTTGACGAAGTTCGGTGAATTGTATTAGTTAATTTTAAGCCATCAATCTACTTTAGTATTACTACTCCATAATTGTTGTATTTTCCGAACAGTCGAAGTCGAGATTGCCTCCACGATCACAATGAATTAATCATCATGGGGTGTCCTTGATATGGTATTCCCCGACGAAAGTATTACCCTTCTAGGAGCCCGCGAATGGTACTTCAATGCAGTGGCGGGTCCAGGATGTAGAAATAGAGGGGCCCAAGGAGGGACTGCAGATAGAGTGTCCACCCGCCTCAGCCCCACATAATATGATTATGGCACCTCTAGATGGCCGGAAATAGCAATTTCAGATTTAAATTTGAATATATTTTGTTTTTTGTTTTCTCCATCTTTCTAAATAATTTTGAAAAATTTAGGAGGTAGGGGCCCGTGTCGGATGGGCTCCGCCACTGTTTAATATAACATATATATAACACTATTTAATATAACATTTGAACTGTCATTTTATTTCACAAAGACTAATTTTTGTAATGTCAAGCGAAAAGGATTTCACTACAGTTTTTACAACCTATAATACATTCATTACTGTATAAATTCTGTAGTTAACCTTCAGAGAACTTTATTTTAATAAATGGCTTAATTAAGTATCCTATTGTTTTCGTTAAATTAGATGGAATCTAAATGTCGTTGTAATATACGTAATATCATTACGTTAGTTTAATGGTGCCGTACTGCAAAGCCAATCAGTTACAGCTTTACAGACGTCAATCAATATGGTACCGTACACATTGGTTGCACAACTCAAAAAGAGAACTTGTAAATGTTCGTTTGTAAATGAAAAACAAAAAAATCTATAATGATAGGTCGATTTATAAGGCGAAAAATAAACAAGGTCTCTGCACCAACAAATTATCTGTCTCTTATACACATCTAGATGTGTATAAGAGACAGCAATATAGAGCTACAAGTAGCATTCGGCATGCAATTATGGCAAACGCTTCATAATGTACCTATGATATAAACCATGATTGGTGAACGGGGTTGTGTACAGCAATTCATCCTTTGTTCGCAATTTTTACTTCTTTAGAATTTCCGGCAGACTGATTTTTTGTTCCTCTATGTTTCTCAATTGGTGAAATAAATTCGAAATAAATTTAAGACGTAAGTTACAAAAACTACCATTGTATTGCACAAAAGTATGCAGCACACCTTTTGTGAAATCGGACAAGCGCCATCTGCTACTGCTAGCCTATTATTATACCATCACATTGAATTTTATCTGTCATTGTCCTTTGTCATTTGGCGCGTGTCTTTATTTACCTGCAGTCATTATCGAACATTCCCACGCCAAGCTATGTGATTGGCCAAGCGCCTAATGAATTATTTATTTCAGATCTAAACAGGGAAGATGTTGATCGAAGATGGTGAAACGAAACTAGCTGATAAATTTTGATCAACATTATGTATTTTCGGCGTAATTAATATGCTGATGATCGGACAGATTTAAACACAATTCAGGTTTTTCATATTGCGATCAAAAATGAAGCGTTGAAGGTTTGAGAGGAGCCAGTTAAGGCCTCTGTGATTTACCAGGACTTGACATATAACCAGCGAGTCAAGGTTGTCTTGAGGTGGTTCCACCAAAAAGACACCGCTCCTCGTATTGCGTTGCGCATAATAAATATAGCGAGTGGGGGAAGAAACTGCTTGTTGCGAGGTGGATTTTTCGATCAATGAAGACTCACTAAGCTTGGTCCAACGCTGAAACGCCTGGGCCAGCAGGACTTTGCTAGTGGAAAAAATCCAAGCTCATCAACAGCGATGGATTTAGGTGAAATAGATTTAAGTCACTTGACTGAGGAGGAAAGGAAACAAATTGAGGCTGTAATGAAAAGACAGAAAGATGAAGAAGATAAAGAGGCTAAAATCAAGCGGTAAGTCTATACTTAAAGCAACAAGGAGACAGGCCCTAGTTACGCAACAACTGTGTGTGTTAAGCATGCACTGCGTAAGTAGGTTAGATACATGGAAATAATAATTGTCTCTGCTACATTATCCCACCCATCCTAAATTTTAATTCGAAATCTCTATCAAATTATAACAATTCACTGCAATATCGGAAAAGGTTTGTTATCAACATTATGGTGTCCTCTTTATTTATAGTAATAACTTATCTTATCAGCTGGACTATTTCTTTGTTTTTGTCTAACTGACATACTGTACTTGAAACTTGTTGACTAAAGGAGATACTCAACATGGATATAGCCTCCTGTAATTCTAACACCAAATAATTGTATATAATTTTTAGTCAGTATCAGTTTTTATAGAAACAAATTATAATCATGTACATTTTCTTATCCAAGGATTCTAAGCATTAAAACTAGTGAAAAAGAAGAATGGAAATTCTCTTTCTGATGTTAGACATATCTTGTCAGAATAGCATAATATTTTGTTGGTTGTCATAAAAAGAGAATATATTTCTATCAACCATTTGTATAAAACAGGAAGAATTAATGGTGGTAGGATAAGAATAGTATTCTGCTACTGTATTTTCATGGTTACACAACATTATAATTTGTATGGTTTGCTTCTGTGTTTGAAATTGTACGGAACAAAAAAAAAAAAAAAAAAGATTTAATTTTTGCAATGGGCGTGTCCAGTGTATTTTCTCTTAAAACATTAAGATACGCAAGATTTTAATTTTATGTAGGCAATTGTGTATTGTATATGTATGTCTTTTGATAAAGTGTGAAGTAGATGATTGATTAAAAATATTATCATTTACCGTACCCACCACTTATTCAAAGTTATTTTTAAATAAACCAAGGTTGGTACAGTTTCTAGAATTTGATATGGCAGGAAATAACATTTTTCTTTAGTTTGGAGTCATAAGGACATTGAAGAGGAGGTTGATATTGTATGCTTGTCTTCACATATAAATGAATGCATGAATAAAAGCCTTTTTTTAACAAGGGTATTCAAAATATGAAAGATAACCAACTCATTTATTTCTCATAGCTGATATGAAATATGAACATAAGTATGAACTCAATTTATGTATGCAATATTTATGATGCATCAATGAATATATATACATATAAAGTTAGTAATTTCTTGGATAATCTATATGTACTGTACATATCTCAATTCCTTTTTTTGTTTTGACTGTCACACTGTCATGTTTTAACATTATTTAGTATAAAACATACTCCTAATAAAGTAAGACTCGTAATTGTGATTCATACTTTAATTTGGAGTATGTTTTATACTAAGTTATCTAAAGAAAATTAAAAGGCAGCACTCTGAGATTAATTTAGATGTTATTTATTTAACACAAGCTTTCGCTGGCAGTCAATGCCAGCTTCATCAGGTGTGTGAAGTAAAAAATTGAAAACCAAATAGAAAAGAGCTTATGCATACATAAATACATAATTAGCAATAGGTTATCGAAAACTTATCAGTGAACCTACAACATTAGTTGATCAAATGCATATATATCAGTGTTTATAATGTAATCCTACAGCAGGAGTTCTTAACTGACCTTGCCCACAAGTGCGTGTTATGCGGGCTGCGAGAACAAGCCGAAAATAATTTTTGCCATTAGGCTTAGGCTTAGATTTTTAACCTTAATAATTTCGCATTCTGTTTTGCCAACTAGGCCTACATATTTCCCCACAAATTGTAGCATTTTAATCAATCAAATTTGGAAGAAATATTACAGCAAACATCAAAGAAAAAAAATATAATCCACCAACTTTCGGCCTTTCGCACAGTTGCTCACTGATGTTTCAGGTCTAAATGTCCTAGCGCGATAGCATGGTTGCACTCTGCTGCTTGTAGTGTGTAGTTCCATATATAAGGGTAACATTCTTAGGTCAAGGTACCCTGTATGACTGTCTAGCAGCTTAATATTTTCAAAAAGTTCCTAATTTGGGATGGGGAGGGGGGACACCACCTTCCCAAACCCAACCCCCGGCTAGCACCTCCTCCGCTCTGATGGCGCTGCACGCCAAAGTACACCTGTTAACCCTGGCCCTTCAAATTTATTCAATAAACAGTTTTGACCCTAGATTGCTATATAGCTGTGTACCCCTGTCCTACAGTATGCCGTGACTTACAAATCCAAAAGAAAAGATTACCACATTACAATAGCATTGTAGTTTTACACTTTTTATTTTCACATCACATAATTAATCATGTAATGGACAATAGTCCATTACAATTTTATGTCTAAGTTCCCCTTAAATATATTTTATTTTTTTTATTAACTTGTTGACTGCCAAGCCCTTTTTTCCTAGTTCCATCCCATATGCCAAGGCATAAATAAAGGGCAGCAACAAAAAAGAATCATTTCCATCAATTGTGAAACACAAACATACGTACATAGTTATTTTTAGATCATTTACTTCATTTGACAGTTAAAAACATGTGACATGCCTAAATATGGTCATGATGACATCACATCTTGACCATATTTATGCACATCATGACTATATTTGGGCATACAACAGGTTTTTGTCAAATAAAATTTGATAATGTGGACAGAGAATGTGACAGTAAATTTATTTGGTAAAGAATTTACATCATTATGAATTATTTATCACTTTATCAAATTATTAAATTTTGTTATCATGTCCCATTATATTTTCATGTCACCCCATCCGCCTCCATGCCTCATAAGGTATTTAGTATACTCAAGATGTTTCATTTCCTTCTGACAAAAATTATTATTGAAAAGTATAATTTTTTAATGAATTATTTTTAACAAAATAAAATCAATAATGCTCCTAATAATTTTGTTTTGATCAAGGAAATTCAACTTGAGAATAGTAATAGAGAGCTTTAATTACCACTTGGTATATTCTGGAATCTTAAGTGGAAGGGTTGACGTCATTTAGTAAGTAATTTCAGGACCACGTTTATTATTAGATGGTTATTGAAAATTAAAAAAGATAAGCCTGAATTATCTGTGATACAGCACATTGGTTGATTGAATGAATCCACTAAGTAAAAGATTTAGTTCCATCAAGGAGGTTCCATTAGGGTCATTGTAAAATTAATACAAAATACATATTTTTTGAATAGTTATTGACACTCAAGAATATTTGTTTGAATGTTATTACTGTAGGTCATACAACAGTATGATATATAGATAAAGAAGAAAAAAACCCCCAAACAATGGACAATATTCAGGATTGCTTTATAGCAACAGTGTGTAAAAAAAAAGAAGTAAATCCTTACCAAGCCATGGGGTTCATATGGCTGGAGCTTATTCCCAATTGCTGTAGCATGAAGCGGATGAGAGTGTGATACTCCGACTACAGTAGGTGGGATGCTAGTCCGCCACAAGTATACCCCTAGCAATTGTTGGTACCCATTGATACAGCTGGGTAGACTGAAGCAACGTGCCTTGGTGCCTTGCTCAAGGATATTATTCTCCTTGCTCAAGGACACAAGCGAAATGCACCGCTAAGGATTGAAACCCCGACCTCGAGGTTGGGAAACCAAATTATTTCCACAGTGACAAATCACTTCCACGTACACAGCAACAGTATAGTATTACCGTAATTAAAGCAAATAAATGTTCACACTATATTCCAAAATGTCAACTGACCCTCATTTACATTAACACATAAAGGAGATAAAAATACATGATAATTTACATTACGCCATTTACAGCAGGGATTCATAAATCATTCAAACATTGATCCAAAACCATATTTACATTTAGTCAGTCAGAGATAGGATGTATTTGTAGTATTGAGTGTCCTGTCCAAGCTCTATCAAATTTTATTTGACAAAAACATGTGATACGCCTAAATAGGGTCATGATAACATCACATCATGACCGTATATAGTCATATCATGACTCTGTATAATCATACAACAGCTTTTTGTAAAAAAAAAAAATTTGATAGTCTGGTCAGAGCTTTAGCTAACTTTAGTGGGGGCAGTCCATGAAGATTACAAATTTTTTTTTTTCATTGAAATTAAATTAGATTTATGTTTGTTGGGTAGAAATCTACTGTTCCTCTACAGGGCCCAGTTATGCTAAAGTTTTAAACTAAGTCATAAATGAGGCTTAAAGGGGTGGAGTTAGTTTTAGCCTGGAGAAGAAATCTTGCTGTCACAAGAATTGAACCCAGGACCTGGGATTGGAAGGCATGTTCGGGCGTCTAGAAAACAAAAAAAATTTCAGGGCATGTCCCCGGACCCTTTAGGGTAGTGTTGTCTCGATCGGCCCCACTTTCAGCCCCCTCTTTCGGCCCTACTTTCAGCCCCCTCTTTCAGCCCCCCCTTTCGGACATCTCTGGATCCTTCGCAGGTAGTGATCAGGTTCTCTTTGAACCCTTATTTTTTGAAGGTACTGTAATTCTCCTGAACGATTCTTTGTTATGGGCATGGGATCAATCTGAATTTACTTGAATTTTTAGGTGAGTTGAGTGGCCGAGTGGTACTTAAGACAGATGCGCCGCATTCTACTGCCTTAACATTGGCGCTGGTTTGAGCCACTCTTCGTCCAGAGTTTGTGTGGTAGAACCAAGTCTTCTCGGATAAGGACTTCAAATGAAGGTCTAGTGTTCAGATCTGGCTTGTTTGTATGCCTTTTAAAGGAACCCTTCCATCTTTTGGAAGAGTAGAGGGTCACCCCAAAGCTTTGGTTCATTTCAGCCCCTGTTGTTATGGAATGATGTAAACATGAAGCTACTACTGTATTTAGTGCCTCTTTACAGTGGCCTAGGTACAGCCACAGACCACACCCATAAGAAATGCAGCACATTGACGCTGTAAGTTATGGGTTATTCTGCCTTTTTCTTTACCTTTAATACAGGTAGAAAATATATACTTAAAATAGTTTTACTTTCTGACCGGACATGGACAGACCTAAACCACAGTAAATAATTCAACAGTTGGTCAAGTAAAGGATATTCAA